GAGACGTCCCACAATCACCAGAGTGTACAGAATCCTGTGCAGACACCTAAGTAATCTAAAGGGTTATTAGCATATAAATGCATAGACCGTGATTCCTGATCGATAAAGCCCTGGTCCAGAATGCCCCATTCATGGCATGTGCCATGAAGGAGCTGTGAAGAAGCAATTCCATAGGTTTAGAGGCAGGTATCATTTAGGTACAAAAGAGCTGCCCTACTGTTCCTCTTCATGCTGCGGTTTTTAGGATATACACCCAGCTCAAGTCAGCATTCCACTTATTAAAATGAGATCTGATTTGGACGCTCACTTGTTGTGACAGTGGCATGGGAGATCACAGACCTCTCAGGTTGAGCAAGGTCCTCAGTGCTTTAAACAGAGCTTTCTCGTTCTCTCCACTTCTCTGCCAGTAACTGCTCCATGGCAGTAAATGCCCAGAGTAGTATCTAGGAGAGGCCCATTATTTGTTAACAGGATTACTGGGTATAGCTTCCGCTCACACCACTTTGAACATTTAGCTGTTAGCATTCATAACGCTATACACATACTGGCAGGATACTCTAGAGTTGGGAAAGGTCCTGTTTTTTCTCTAAGGAATTTCTGATTCTGCAGTATGTTCTATAGAATCTGCCTTTACCATTCGGATTAGCACAGGGTAAGCTCTGATCAGTTTATGTGGTTAAACACATTTCAAGATGGGGAAATGTTTAAAAAGATGGTAGGTTCCTGACAAATGTTCAAGCTGTCAAACTTGTTTTTCTTTCAACGTATTTACATTTTTAAATGGCAATATGCATATTTGTTTTTAAATAAGAAATGTTATCAAAATGGTTATTGACAATTTTCATTTTTTAAAAATTGGGATTCGGCCAACAAAACATTTCAGACATATTTCTTAGATACACGGTTTTTCATGAAAAGTTTCAACTGTGCTGACAATTTTTCACAAAAAAGTCATTTACAAAACAGCGATTTTTTTTTTTGGCAAAAATACTTTGTATTCACATTATTTGACCTCGTCTACTTGTCAGAGACTGGAGAATTGGCAAGCTGTGGTGTAAAACTAACTCCAACTGGGTACACAGATGGCAAACTGATAGGTGATTTACAAATATCCGGACAGACAACAGATAAGCTATCCAAAATGTATGAACCAGCATACGACTATAAATCTAAGCCATTTCTTGGGTTGAGGGGTGTATGGATTCCTATAACGTTTCCACATTTACTTCACCTTCATTTTGCCTCTACCCTCAAAAAGCACCTGTTATGGCAACACTTCTCGGAGCCTCTTGACACCACCTTGAGTACCTGCTGGAAGGAATTGTTCTGGTGAAAGCGTAGAAGCTGTAAAGGGAGGGAATGTTCTGCCCCTGCATGGCTGTCTGTCCTGCTGGCCCAGAGAACAATGGGCAAAGGAAGGGCCCCAGTCTCCCACCTTAAGCAGAACTGGGATGGGTCCTTTCTTGGGTGGGAAATCCTCATTTGCAATCTTCAGCTGCTGTGTGTTGTCACTCAGTCAGATACACAGTTCTGTTCTCTTCAGGGTCTGATATTGAGCTCATCAGCACAGTATTGGAATGGCTGGGTCTCACTCAAGCTGAGCTGCCGTTCTGTGTGGGGGGAAGTGGTTCTCGCGTACAGCTTGTAGAATGCTGCAGGTTCCTTTGGAATGACAGGTGCAATGCAGTGTCGTGGCATCTACTGGACGTTGGGAGACCTGGATTCAACACCCAGCCCAGTCACTCACTCGCTGTGTGACTTTAGACAAGTCACTTTGCCCCTTTGTGCCTGTTTCCCCTCCCACCTATTGTCGGCCTTGTCCATTTATATCTTTGGGGCAGTGACTGTCGCTGATTATGTGTGTGGACAATGCTTACCACATGAGGCCCTGATCTTGGTCTGATCCTCTACGTGTCACTGTAATTACAATAATAATTCTGATTCCAGCTGTGAGGCTATTGGCATCTCACTCTCTGAAGCAATGTTAGTTTGCCATGTGTTGTTCTTTTTCCTACAGAAACATTAAAAATGTATACACAGTGATTATTTTCCCACAAAATAATTTATAAGCCTAGGGGCAGGATGCTCTGAATGCAGCAATACAAACTAGGGTACAACCAAAAAAAAAGGTCATGTTGCCATAGCCCCAAAGGAATCAATTAGCTGTGTCTTTTGTAGCTTGGGGCCATTGGTTGCATTTTTTACTCAATCAGGCCCAAAGTCAAGTGCTGTATCAGACCATCCCAGCGTTCTGATTAACATTTCTTTTAAGCATACAGGGACTTGGTGGGAGGCACAGTGGGCTCGTACAGCTGTTTCGTTCTGGAGACCTGGACTCAAATCTGAGCCTGGCTCACCAGTCAGACAGTAGGTTTGGGGGGCCTCCTGTTTCCCATGTCAGTCCCCATTTGCTGCATGTTCTTTGGCATGACTGGCCATCAGAGATCAATAGAGGAACTGAGTAGCAAGGCTGCTGTGGGATGGGACTGCGGTGCAGTGGTGCATGGGGCAGTTTGTCATTATTCCATTAACTCTAGTGTCAAGCGTTATGGAAATCAGGCCTGGCTCACTCTTGCAGCTGTGTACCGATATTAATCTAGTGACTGATTCTCCTCGCAATCATCACATAAACTGGTACGTCGGCCGCTAAACCGTAGCTTGCAAAGTATATGAGACATGTTCTTGGGGTCTGCATGGAGTTTCTTACAAAAGGCCGTAGCGTCGTAGGACGTGTTCCTCGGTGGAATCCAGGATGGAATTCTCCCTCATGGGAGCTCGGACTATAAGGATCTTCCTTTTCCTCATCCAAAACCTTAAAGGCATCCTAACAGCCAATCTGGCTAATAATGGGCTTGACCCCAATATGCCCTGAACTCCAGGGGTGCTGAACAGGTCATAAATTCTGCTGTAATTCAGGGAGTTTCAGGAACTTGGTTTACCCAGTCACTGGGTAAAGTGGGGCACAAATTAAAGCAGTCCTCAGCCAGCTCTGATTTCAGCTGGAGGTGCCGCCTGGCACAGAGCAGGTTGGAGAAGGAGCAAAGTTGGCTTTGTATCTTCCTCCTCAGCTCTACCATGCCTTCCTTGGCTGCAGCCCAGTATCTAGCCCTATTTGTTTTTAGTTATCTGTCAACAGTGCAAGAGGCCCAGATGACATTACTTTGAATAGCTCCATTATGCAACTATATTCACCTCACTCCCATAGGCCCCTGAGAAAATCCCAGCTTCTGGCTATCTACTCATTTCCGACAGGTGCTAACTTAGTGGCATGATGCTACATACACTTGTTTTATTTGTTTATTTCTTTTTACTTCCCTGAAAATGCCCTGAGTGACCAATTCATTGCGTGCCACCATGGAAATCCCCTTGTAGGATTCCAGGCCATCGTAGGGCTGTAAGTGACACAGTGTGTTAAGAACTCCACCGTCTAAAGCCTGATTAGCTCCACATAGCTGCATCCCTGTGGTGTCCAGTGCTCACTCAGTCCTTGCGAGCTCCATTTTATTCAGTGTCCAGTTCTAACTGGCTGTGCCTAACAAAAGCTTCACAGAGCCCTGTCCAGACTCTCTATCTGGGAAGCTCAGCCCTTAAAGACACAGTCCCCAATCAGTTTCCCAGCTTGCTGCTCCAGATTCACAGAACCCAGTACAGAAGAAACCTGGAAATTGACCCCCACAGCTTCCATAGCTCAGTTAGGCAAGAGCTAATGCAGCAGTGTTTTAAGGGGGCTAAGAGCTCTGTGTTAGTAATTCATATAATATGATAGCTTTTAAGGGATAAAACACCTGTGGGTAGAGGACCAGTTTCCCTATTGGGAGTAGAAAGACTGTTTGCTAGTCAGCATCTGTCAGAAAAGATTAATGGATAAGTAGGTTGCAGGCTGGACGCCAGCATTATATGCCCATCGCTTTATTTCAGAAACAAACTGAAATGTCGTTCCCTGGTTACAGAGAAAGAAGCTGAAATTGAGGATTGAATTTGCCCACGTAACCCACCACGTTTGCATGCTTTGGGGGTATTTTGAGGGCCAGATCGCAAGCTGTTGTAAATTGGTGTTGGATCCACTCAGGTCATGCTGGTGACAGCAGCTGAGGATCTGGCCTCCTCAAGCCTCCTCAAGCACAGATACCAGAGTGAAGGACCCTCCCTTCCAGCTGGATGCTGAGCAGGCCTCTCTCCCCACAGCGTAGGGGGGCTCTGCACTGACCCGATCCACGCTCATCCCAGCACTACACTGGGAGTAGGAAGAGCTTTATCATTTCAGACACAAGGTCCAGCCACAGGAAGCCTCCGAGTGGGGTGTGTAGATCATGCACCTCCTGGACAGACCATCTGTGGATCCTGCCCTCCACAGGGACCCTGGGACTGCAGCAACCTCCACAGAGGAAAATTTAGGGGAAAAGTGTGACACAAACAGGCCTGGGAATGGGGAGGGGGGTCACATACCCCCTCCAAAAAGGAAGTCTTGTGAATGAGGGCTTAGAGGCCAGAGGGACTTGTACCCGCCCCTTGACCCCCCATTGCTGTTGCGGTGTGGGCATGGGGGTTGTTGTTAACTGACAGGCTTCTGTTGCTCCTGGATGGCTGCTGTGTTTTGCAGCTGTCAGATGGTTCCAGCATCCCTGTGAAGAGGGGGGACACCAGCCCCCTCAACGTTTCCTTGCTTAGCACTCTACCAGGGAGACCCTGTTGGAAAATCATGGAACCCCATCTCCTTGGATATCGCTCCCTAGTGCCAACCCTGCCGTGCAGCGAGGGGATGGGCAGAGACACTGACTGCAGGGGAGAGGTAGGGATGGGCAGCCGTGGAGCCGCTGCAGGGCTACTGCTGAGTGAGGACTCCCTGCCCAGGACTGCAGGACAACAAGGGCTGAGGCTGATGTCAATGTTGTGGGTCTAAAAGTGCCACGCACATGTCTGGAGCTGTATAAATGACAGCAAGGTTAAGTCCGCCTGTGTCTGACCGGGGCTCGTTGAAAAGGATCTCTCCCTGGTTTCAGCGCATTCATAAATAAAGAAAACACTGAGTAGTCATTCGCAGATTCTCGGCAATGAAAATGACAAATTCTAAGATTCGGAGAAATATGTTGGGCTGGGCTTGGATTTTCTAACTGGTAACTGTGCATATATGTTAATCACCAAGTGCCCTGAGTGCATGAAGAAAATGCATATATCCTCGTGGTAATTGCACGATTTGCTGCATTATGTTATTGAACACAGTTCTTAACTAAACCCCTTGGCTCAGATTCATCCATTTATGTCGATGGAGTGAAGGATTTTACCCTTTGTCTTCCTATCAGAAATGCCTCCAGCCTCACAGCAATTGAAATATGATAGAAAAAATGATCCATTCCATTTTTCAGTGCTGAATAATGTCCTGCTCTCTGAAGCCTTCCTAAAAGCCAGACCACTTTTATCTTCCTCTACCAGCACATTAAAGTGAGTATCAATTTATTTAATGGTACATTACAAGTATATAAACATACAGTATGCCTGTATCTATTGGCAGTGTTAATAGTGCAGGATACGGTTACAGTTATATTTCCAGTACATATTTTATTCTTATGAGCTCAAAAAGTACAGGTCCGGTTTAACAAATAGGGCATTGTCTATCTTCTTTTCATAGGTAATAACGATTAGACTGGAGCTTTTATGATCACTAGATGGTAGGGATAGTAAGGATTCAAACAGGCCATCGCGGTCACTCCAGCTGTCAAACCACAGAGAACGTCTTTTTACAGACAAAATATCTCTTGGTTTTGAAGGGGTTAAAATAAAACGAACCGTTATGTAGCTTTGGCAGCGTGCCCTGCACAAAGTGGTGACAGTGGTGCACAAATACATTTACATTTTCCATTGTCTGAGGCTAGTTTGGCACCAGGCCAGTGTTAAGTGCGGGCTTAGATGCAGTGAAGACTTGAATAGGATAGCTGATTTATTAATAGACCGAAGGCAGAGAGCGCTGCTTACTAGTCCCTAAACAGACTGTATACTCCGCAGAATGAAAGCTGACACTGTCTGAGGCTGATCTCTGGTAAAGGAATGAGATAGCATATCCCTCATGAAGAAAAGCATCCTGGGCGTGGCAGGAGAACGCTAGGGGGGTTCTCCAAGGGCTGTGACACATAAGCCTGCACTCTGGTTCAGGTAAGCACCTAAAAATGTTTTTATGTCCATCACTCTTCAGGGTAGCAGTTAAGCACATGCCTAGTATGTGAGCATGTGTCCAAGGTCCACAACTTGGATGGGACATAAGCACATGCTTCAGTGTCTCGAATAGGGAATCAGAGCATTATATGGAGACAGAGAGACAGACTCTGAGTTAACTAGCGGCGCAAACGTCAGTCACATGCAACGAGCAGACAAACCCGATTCTTACCGTCGCACCATGTGTTGCTTAAAGAACATATTTCTGCTAATTGCCCGGCTTTTGCCCAGCTTTGGATCCGGCTCACTAGACCCTTGCCATGGCCTCTATTAAAGTGCACCGCACCCAGGTGAAACGTTGTACATTGTTAAAACCTTCCACTAACACACTGAAACACATTCCTTATTTCTGCCAATATGAAAATCCGAGTGTATTCCCATGAGTGACCTGAGCTGGCCCTCATAAGAGGATTATTCTGCCATTAGTGGGATTGGGACCTTGAAAAGGATATTTTCAGAAATGTCCTGTCAGATCCTTTTGAAAATGACCTGTATTGATCTGTGACCTTGGCTTTCCATGGAAAGAATAGGAATATTCGAATAGCAATGCATGTCTTGTGAGTACGAATTGGAACAAGCCATTGCTTTTCATTATTTTGCTTGGAGCTATTCTGGAAAGTAGCTCATTATTGATATTCTGATATGTCATACTGCTTTCCAGCCACAGACATTAAACCCCAAACCGCCTGGAAGAACAGGATCAAGTACAAGGGCCTATTCCCATGATGGTTTCAAACAGAACAATCTCACACACACATGCTTCATCGTTCAGGAGTTACAAAGTAGTCAACATAAAGACACACAACAGGAAGCTCATTCTATGGCACAGCTAGAAGTAAATGGCCAAGTCAGTAGGAGAACTTGTGGCCTCCAAAGCAGATGGGAAGATCTGAGACACTGGATTGAATGGCTCAGATGTAGCCTAGGCTTAGCAAAGGTGCACCTCAGTATAGAGTGATTTTTGGAGGGATTTTTCTTTAATTGCAGTTAAGATCCATAGCTGTTGGTCTGATACCAGGGCTGTGATATCTATTCGGTCTTCAGTTTGCAAAAGCTACCACTGCTGCAACCTCTGTGTCCCGCATCGGCATGGGCTCTCCGATTCTAGCTCGCTGTGTGGTTGTATTAATTATAATTATGATTGTTTGTTTATATTATTGTAGTGCCTACGGCCCCTAACTGAGCTCAGGGCCCCTTTGCGTGAGGCCCTGTACAAACACAGAGTAAGAGACAGCCCCTGCCCTGGACAGCGTACAGTATAAACAGACAAGATAAACAAAGCATGGGAGAAATGAAGTATCATTATGATTGCCTTTCTACAGGGAACTGAGGCATAGAGAGACTAACCTGCCTAGAGTCACACAGAAAGTTTGTGGCAGATCTAGGCCTTGAATAAGTTTCTGAGCACCAGTCCGGTGCCTTAATCACAAGGAATTGTTAGGAGTGAGCGCTAATATTATAGGGTACCAAGTTTAAAAAGTGTGTTTGGGGTAGAGGGGAGAATGGACAAGCAAAATTCACCATTCACAGCTCCTTTAAAGGAAATCTTGAGGTGTACAGCCCGTTTTTCATTTCCTGTCTGGAAACTCCAGCCTCAGATCCACTACATTTCAGTCTACCATGTGCTAAGTAACATATTTTAATTAACATAATTATAAATTCTAGTGCAGCCAGGACACAAGCTAGACACATTTGTTAGCAGCTTAGAAATGATTAAATGCAACTGGAACAAATGTTTGTTTAGTGTCTACACTGGGCCAAGGGCAAACTTTTTGCACAAAACTTTCTATGCCAAAAAATGCATATTTGGGTAGACAAGCATATCTTGCAAATTCACGGAATTTTTTCAGTCAAAAACAAAACAAAACAAAACAAAACACCCCCCAGATCAAAACATTTTGACATTTTCTATTTGGATTCAAAGTGACTCTGTTTTAAATTTTTAGTTTGCTGAAAATTTTGAAAAAAAATTGTTTTCAATCAACCCGGAATTATGTCCCCGCCACCGATTTTTGTATTTGGCCACCAAACCGAAAAATGAATGATCTGCACAACTCTAGCATCTACACTGGATGTCACAATGGTGTAAATTTCCAAGTGTTAAAACACAAGCAAAAGTTCTAATGCAGATATCCTTTGAGAGGCTAAATTGTGGCATGCTAGCAATGAAATAAGAAAGGTGGCCAGGAGTACTATAAAGGCAAAGTGATTGCATCCAGCTAATTTCATAGGTCCTGTACAGATCAGTGCTAATTCAGGTCCCTGCTAAGCTGCCTGAGACGTGTTCGCACCATGTAGAAATCCAGGCAAAACCATTACATCTTGTTTGTGCAATGTCTGACTGTTATCGAAAACATTTGTACTGGAGTTATTAGCAGCTTTACTGTTCGTTTTAAGGTAGTGTTATACAAAGCAGAGGAAGCCTTTCCAGTGCGACAGTCAGAAAGAGCGATGGAGTTTTACGCCTCAACTCTATGACAAACACAGCTGTGTGTTTGTAAATCAGTTCATGACAGTGTCCTCTGAGCTGGTTACAACAATCACAGTTGAGTCATGTTCACAAAGTAATGTTTTTGCACAAGTGGGTATCAGTTGGGTTTGTGTTTCCATGCCTACCATGCTGCCTGGTTGTATCAGGAGAGTCAAGTAAAATCTGAGCAGCTAACCCATAGTGCCTCTGCAGGGAAGAAAGTGGTACCTGCAGCATCTGCAGCAGTGCATTCTGGGATGCCCTACTGAAGAAAACTAGAAGGAAGAAATTGCCCAACCTGAATACATCGGTACAGGTGGAGGTGTCCTAGCTACACTGGTATGACCAGTGGTGAGCTTGAACCGTTGTTAAATTTTGAAGCAGCTTTAGAACTGGTTGTTAACCCACTTCCCTGCAGGGAACGCTGAGGCTTTGATGGGCCGCGAAGTGATGTAATTCCTCCTCCGGCCGCCGGGGGCGCTGCACTGCGGGAGCCACGTGGGCTGCCGCCTGGCCCCGGGCACGAGCCCTGGTGCTGCTGCTGCTCCCCCGACCCCTGGCCCTGGGGCTCCCGCTGCTGCCGGGTGGGTCCCCAGCTGCTCTGCTGGGCCTGGGCTGCGTCTGGCTGCTCAAGCTGCTCCGAGCCGCTCTCCCCGTGAGCGCCCACCACCCTGCCTGCAGCCAGCCCCTGCCTCCAGCCACCCCTGCCTGCAGCCAGCCCCTGAAATGCAGCCAGCCCCTGCCTCCAACCACCCCCGCACCCCCTGCCTCCAGCCAGTCCCTGCTGCACCCCCTGCCCTGCCCACAGCCAGCCCCTGCCTCCAGCCACCCCCGCACCCCCTGCCTCCAGCCACCCCCTGCACCCCCTGCCTGCAGCCAGCCCCTGTCTCCAGCCACCCCCGCACCCCCTGCCTGCAGCCAGCCCCTGCCGCACCCCCTGCCCTGCCCGCAGTCAGCTCCTGTCTCCAGCCACCCCCTGCCCTGCCTCCAGCCACCCCCGCACCCCCTGCCCGCAGCCAGCCCCTGCCGCACGCCTTGCCCTGCCCGCAGCCAGCCCCTGTCTCACCCCCTGCTCTGCCTGCAGCCAGCCCCTGTCTCCAGCCAGCCCTGCACCCCCCTGCCCTGCCTGCAGCCAGCCCCTACCTCCAGTCAGCCCCTGCCCTGTCTCCAGCCAGCCCCACACCCCCTTGCCTCCAGCCAACCCCGCACCCTCCTGTCTCCAGCCAGCTCCGCACCCCCTGCCCTGCCCGCAGCCAGCCCTGCACCCCCTGCCTCCAGCTAGCCCTGCCCCATGCCCCTGTCTGCAGCTGGCCCCACGTCCACTGGTGCCCTACAGATCCCAGGGCAGTAACCCTGCACACCTGCTTCAATGAGGGGGGGGCAGGGAGCAGCTGGGACCCACGCATGTGCACACCCTAGGGTGACCAGACAGCAAGTGTGAAAAATCAGGACAGAGGGTGGGGGGTAATAGAGCCTATATAAGAAAAAGACCCCAAAACCGGGATTGTCCCTATAAAATCGGGACATCTGGTCACCCTAGCACACCCCCAGGAAGTGGCGGGGACCCACACCTGTGAAACAGAGCTCATTTCTAGTTCAGGCCCATCTTTTAAACAAAGAACTTTAGGCAGGGGTAACACACACCCGTGTTTTCCCAGACAGGTCAGGCTTTTTGGTTCTTAAATCGCCGTCCAGAAGGAATTTTTAAATTTTAAAATTTTTAAATTTTAAAAATTCCTCCTGGGAAAATACAGACATATGGTAACCCTGTTGGTACAAAAAATACATACTGGGGCACAGCCCTTAAATCAGAACTTTTTATAGGGAACCGGTTGTTAAGATTTTGGCAGCTCATCACTGGGTATGACCTGGTCAAACCATGTTCCAATCGAGACTGCTGACAAGAGTAACCCCTGGTTTGTTGCTATGGTTATACACCAACTACTAACAGTTTTGTGTTTAGACATAAACCATGTTTAAAGCCAACTATCCCACTGGTTACAAACTGGTTAAAGGTCACAGTGCAAAAAGGTCCCTGAACAGACTGTAATATCCTTTCACTAGGAGGCAATAGCGATGGATAAGCTGTATTTCCTGCTACCACCGTAACATCTCAAAAGAATCTGGAGCAGCGAGCAGTACCTCTAGTCCATTCACCATTGTCCATGCCGATGAACTAGGCAAAACAAGGCAACCTGCAGTACTGGCTCCTCGAGAACTTGGATAATTCACATAAATAAAGGGCCTCTGGTGAATTACACTAGTGGCGAGAGAACAGCAACGGTCCTTTATAAAGCCAGGTATTCCCTGACTTGTTTTAAACAAGAATGCTCCATTCCTTCTAGTCTGGATGGATCCCAGATAGCTACATTTACATAACCTGAAATTGTATCATGGTGGAAAGAAATCTGTAAGTGGTATCGACAGAGAAATCCCATTATTAATCATAAAATATGCATGTGCCATGAAT